GGCGAGCGGGGCTGGCTGGGCGCTCGGGGGGCGAAGGGGGTGACATGTGGGAATAAATGCACGAGGTCCACGCGGGGAACGCGCTGAGGGAACCGGGCTGTGGGCGGGATGAGGGGATTTCACGCGTGCAGCTCCTCAGGGAAGGGGGAAGTGCCTGCCGGGCCCGGGTCGGCCGGGGTGGGAGCGCACACGGGAGCGTTTCATCTCTCCAGGGAAACCGATCCCGTTCTCCTTCGTGGACCCAGCGGCAGCGGAGGGCAGTGCCTTGCGTAAGGGAAAAAAGGGAAAAGCTGCTTCAGGAATTCGTGCAGGAGCTCAGGAGCTCGGGACCGCGTCCCGGCAGGGCTGAGGCGCCTCATGGCGTTGTCCTTCCCACGGTGGGATGTCGTGTCAGACACCAACGCCCCGTCACCGGACAGCCCGGTCGCTCCCAAAGTCCTTCTTGCAGTTAACAGCGGTTCGCCCTCCTGCAGCGTGAGCAGGGGGCAGCAGAGGGTGCTGTGATCGCACACAGGAATGCGGCTGCCTGAGGGACAAGGAAACAACCGAGAACCGGGTCATCACAACGCGGCCGTGGTTTATCAAAATCTGTCAGTTTATTAAATTAACTCCCATCGTGTTGGAGTCAAAGCGAGTGTAGAGATCCGACACTGCCTTTCTCTAACTGCGGATATTCTCATCCTGATGTTTTCGAACTTACATTATTGGCAGCTGAAGAGGGAAGACTTCAGAAAAATAAATGTCATTGTTTCTCATAACATAAAAGCCTATAAAAACTGAAGTGAATAATATCTGTTATCTAAGTCTTCTGAAAACAGAGACATTCTAAGGGGACATCACCAGTGCTGGGGTCAGAAGTGCTGACAGGCCAAAGCCTTGTACAGGCCTAGAAAGGGATGGTTCCTGCCCCAAAAAAGCTTACAGCCATGTGCACAACGAGTGAAGACAGGTGGATGCAACGAGTCATTGCTGAAATGCACTTCCTCTAACCTTGCCCCGTTGCAGGAGTGTTGTCCTGAGAACAGGAGCAGTCATAACAAAGTCCTAATTACCAGAGGTTGTTTTGTCAGAAATCGGAGTAGGTTCTGTGTTCAAGAGGGCTCTGAAGGAGGACGGTGCTACAGAGTTGCGGTTTTTTTTAGGCAACTCGTGAAAGAGGAGCAGAAATGGAAAAACTAAAACAATTGCAACATACTCCCCCGTGGAAACTGCCGTGGTCACAGACACTGGAAGGCAGAAGAAGTGCATTTCCACTCATTCCTGCCGAAAGAGAAGTTGGGTGGTCTTGTAGATGAAACAAGTCTCGCCTGATATTGGGCCCTTGAGTTCACCAGAGAAGTTTTGCACCTTGAACCAGTATCCTGACTTCCCTGTACCATGGCTTTTCTTTCATAAAGGTGGAGACAAATACGTAGTTGTCCTCTATCCTTTTTATGCAACAAAACGCCTCAATGCCTGTGGGATGAGTTTTTTGCACAAAACTCTTCTACCACTACTAGGACCCGCCTCTGTTGATGCGGTGTGCCTTTGGTTTGCTGTGGGCATTGTCATGCCCACCTTACTGGAGCTGAGGTCTCAGTAGCAGTGTAGGTGCAGCATCAGAGACTGTACAAAGACAGTGGGCATCTACCTGTCTGGGCTGATTCCTTGCAGGAACCTGTAGCACCAAAGCTTCTGGTACTGCTCTATGCTGGAAGAAGAGGAAGGGACAAAGAAGAAACCACTGTAAGGAACTCCAGAGAGCTGCATGAAGTTTCCATTTTTCAAATCTGTTGTTTTATCAGCAATTTTTCTGAAAATACATTTGTCTCACTGCTAATAAAAGAAGTGGCTCCACTGAATTGCTGGATTTCTTTCCGTAAGAAAGAAGGAGGAATTGTGTGTCTGTGTTAGCTTATCTTCCTGATCTTGAAGTTGTTTTTCAAGCCAGAATGTCACAATTCAACTGGGGGAGAAGCCTTCATCACAACTTGCAAACAAGGTGAAAATGGAATAATTTAAATGATTCTTTTCCAAAAAATAGATGGAACAGGGGAATGCTGACCTTGCTTTAGTTTTGCCAAAGGCTGCCAACACTCAGAGGGAATAAGCTATTCAGCTGGCGAAAAAGTGCTGAACAAACACTGAAGGAGCTAAAGGGATACTCCCAATCATGATATACTTGCTTTTCACTCTAGTGCCCCAGTCTAATGCCTTCCCCCTTGCCCCCTGCCTTCAGGCAAAAAGAAATAAAAT